AAATCCAACTAAAATTCAGGAGTTTTCTACCTTAGTGAAATTAATAGTGGTTTAGGTGGTATAGAGCATGTAAAGATATCACTTCTAAGTTCAAAGACAAGTTGCTGCATTTGGCTTCTCCTACAGTCAACAAAGATAAGTTGCCTAGATATAATAACTAGTGGGTCTATTAGGATTTTGGAGAGAACACATTTCTTGTTTGAATGCTTCACTCTGGCCCATTTACTGAGTGACCCTCATGTTGCTAACTTGGGGGCTCAGAAGAGAAGAATGCTGTATACAAACTCCTTTGCCACTTGGATCATATAAGATCAAGCATATCCAGTGGTACTTGAGGTATCAGTGGCAGATAATAATAATAATAATGCTTTAATCATAGGACATGCCTTTATAATTTTGAGAGGCAGCCATTTACCTATAACTAGGCCTTTATGGAAACTGAATACTTGACCATGTGCCATCAAATTACCATATGACCTGAGCTACTATCATAGACTGGTGTTATCTTACTCACCAAGCCATGAAGTTGGGCATGCACAGTAGTACTCCATCATCAAATGGAAGTGTTAGGGCCCAAGCAGTTCCTGAAGGTACAAGTAAGATACTTGAAGAAGTGGCCCAAATGCCCATAGTTCTTACTTCTGCTAGAGAGTCTTCTCTCTTTCATTCTGAATCTATGGTTTCATCTTATAATCAGTTGACAGAGGAAAAGAGGACTAGGAATAGGTTTACAGACACCACTTGAAAGTAGACAGCTGCAGTACTAAAGCCCTTTTCTGGTACATTTCTTAAGACACTAGCGAAGGAAAATATTCTCAGTGGGCAGAACTTCAAGCAGTACACCTGATTGTACACATTGCTTAAAAAGAGAAATATCCAGGTGTGTGATTGTAAACTGATTCACTTGCTAGAGTCAATGATTTGAAAAGACCATGATTAGGAAACTAGTGATGAAAAAATTTGGCAAAGAGTTATGTGGATGGACCACTCTAAATGGGCAAAGGATGTGAAGATATTATGTCATATATTAATGTTCATCAAAGGGTGCTGTCAACAGAAGAAGAATTCATATCAGGTGGATAGTATGACCCATACTGTGGATACTATTAAGTCTCTTTCTCCAGCCACTCCTTTCTTCATCCAGTGGACTCATGAAAAAAGTGGCCATAGTGGCAGAGCTATGCATGGGCTCATCAACATGGGCCTATGCTCACTAAAGTCAACCTGGTTGTTATCAGTGCTGAATCATTGATTTGCCAGCAGCAGAGACCAATGTAGTTCTCAATATGGAGCCATTCCACAGTCTTCTACCTGGTGACAGGATGATTTTATAGAACCATGGCCATCTTGCTGTTTTGTATTTACTGGAATAGATGCTTACTTTAAATATGGATTTCCCTTCTACCAGTATGCTTGTACCAAAACTATGGTCTATGGTCTTACAGACCAACTTTTGTACTGTCATATTATTGATACATAGCTTTGTTTCTGACCAAGGAATTAACTTCATTACAAAAGAAGCACAGTAATGGGCTCATACTCAGAAAATCCCCTGGTATTACTGTGTTCTCCACCATCCTAAAGCACTTCCCAGCTCTGTGATCAGGAAATTGTTCCTATGCTAAAATGAGCTTTACCATGTAGTTCACAGTCCTGCATTATCTATTGTTCAGTGCCTAAAAACATTTACAACAGATGTCACATCCAGGGGTTTTTTTATTTGTTTATGGTAGGAAGGCAAGTTTACTATGATTAATGCATAATAATTAAAAGCCTACCATAGTAATTTGAAGCCCATCATTGATCTTTTTTAAAAAGTGAAATAGTACTTCTAGTTTTAATTAGAATATAGACAGTTATGAGACCACATGCAGGAATGGGAACCATAGTACAGTGTTGTGATTTTGCTTATATGATAAGACATAGACTAGAGGTCAGGGAAGCTGGGAGGACTGGAATTTGTGGATAGAGAATCAGAGAAGAGGGAGCTATAGCAGATAAAATACTGCAAAAAGCTGCCATTGAATCTTTGACTGCAACCTAAACTATACATTTAGAATAAAACACTATAAAGTCAAGCAAAGAACAATTATGAGGTACAAGTATCAAAGTTCACACCAGATGGAGAGATACATATTGAGTTTTGAGTAGCCACAGAGAGACCTTGTTGCATAACTGAGGCATTCAATAGATATCTAGAGGATGACGCTTTAACAATAAGGCTTGACTAGCCCCAGAGTTAAGTCTAGTCTAAACTCTCCAACAATCTTTTTAAAAGGCCATAAAATAGAATTCTAACCTAAAAGTAAGTTAACTACTTGTCCAAATTAACTTAAACACTTTTTAAAGAAAAAAAAATCCATGCATCAGCTTTATAACACAACAAACAACATCAATAAAAATTATTAGTAACATGAAGAAGGAGGAAAATGTGACCTATAACTACAAGAAAAATAAGTCAGTGGAAACAGATAAAAGGGTCACTAAGAAAGTGGGAGGGAGGACTTTTAAAAGACCTAGAATACTTAGAATATTCAATACCAAAGGAGAGTAACAATGTTGGAGAACTGAGGCAATATAACAGAGAAAAGATAGTCTCTTTAACAAGTGGTGTTGGAGCAACTAGACTTGGCAAAAAAAAAAGTGAATCTAGACACAGATCTTCAAACTTTCACAAAAATTTACTCAAATGGATTACGGGCTCAAAACATAAATCATAAAATTACTGGAAAATAACAGGGAAAACCCTTAATGGCCTTGGGTATTGCAATGACATTTCATTTATTTATTTATTTATTGTTTTTTGGAACTGGAGATTGAACCCACAGGTACTTTGCCACTAAGCTACATCTCTAGAATTTTTTTTTTTTTTTTTAAAGACAAGGTCTCTGCTAATTTGTTGAGGCTGGCCTTGAACTTCAGTTTCTCCTGCTTCAGCCTCTTGAGTCACTGGCATTACAGGCATGTAGCACCATGCCCAAATGAAATGATTTTTTTAAATAAAACATCAAAGAAACAAACAAATCAAAGGAATAGTTGATAAGCTGGACCTTGTAAAAATTAAGAACCTCTGTTCTGTGAAATATACCATTAAGAAAATAAGAAAACAAATCACCGAAGAAAATATGTGCAAAAGACATAGCTGAGGGGAAGAAGTATAGCTGGAGAAAGATATTGGCCAAATTATATAATGTGCATGTACAAATGTGTAGACAGATCCCACCATTATGTACAACTATAGTAGCACCAATAAAGTGTGGGGAAAAAACCATAGCTGGTAAGTGACAATTGTGCAAAATATAGGAAAATTTATTAGAACCCAACAATCAGGGAATAAAAAACATGATTTAAAAATAAATAAAAAATTTGAAGAGATATTTAACCAAAGAAGATACACATATGGCAATTGTGCATATAAAATATGTCATTAGGGAATTGCAAATTAAAACAAAAATGAGAAACCACTATACACTTATTAGAATGGCCAAACTCAAAACACTGACAATACAAAATGATGTTGAAGGTGTGGAAGAACTCTCATTCATTGCTGGTGGAATATTCTTACCATACAATGTAACTATTTCTCCTTGGTATTTATGCAAATGACTTAAAATGTTTGTTTGCATATAAAACCTGAACTTGGATGTTTATAGGAGCTTTATTCATAATTACCAAAACTTGGAAGCAATCAAGGATGTCCTTCAGGAATAAATGGAAAAATATACTGTGGTACATTAAGATATTGGAATACTATTCAGTGATAGATTATCAAGCTATGAAAGACATGGAGGAAACTTAAATGCAAATGAAGTCAATCTGAAAAGGCCAAGAACTGCATGATTCCAACTGCATTACGTTGAGAAAAGGCAAAATTATGGAATGAGTGAAAAGATTAATGCTTGCCAGGGGTAAGGGGGCAGGAAAGGGTGAAAGTAGAGCATAGAAAACCTTCAGAGCAGTGAAACTGTTCAGTATGATACTATAATGGAGGATAAATGTCATTATACATTTGTCAAGATTCATAGAATATGTAACGCCAAGAATGAATGTTAATGTAAGCTACAAAGTTTGGATGGTAATGATAGTAAACCAAAAGCAATGAAACATTCCCGGAGTGATTGTAGAGGTTAGAGCTACTGCAAAACACGTGAAATATGCAGGGATGTGGGTTCCCACCATATCTCTCATTTGACTCATGCATTTGGCTTATGTAGAAAACATGAATCTTGGAGAATCACAGTGAATTATTATCAACTTAATCTAGGTGGTAACTCCAAGGGAAACTGGCACTCCAGATAGAACTTCGTAGTCTGAGTAAACTAATATGTCTTCTTCATATATCATGTATAACTATTGATAAGGCAATGCTCCTTTTTCTCTTCTCAATTTCTGTGACAAAAAATGTTGGAAGCTATATACCTTTACTATCTTATCTCCATGATATATCAGTTCTTCAGCCCTGTGTCATAATTTAATATACACGGTCTTTCACTTTCACAAGACTGGTCCATTTCATTGATAATATTATACTAGTTGGACCTAGTAAACAAGTATTAAACCTATGGTGAGACATTTGCACATCACAGAGTGGGAAATAAATTTGATAGAAAAAGGTAACTTCTATCTCAGTGGAATTTCTAGGAATCCCTTGGTGGGATAAGTTGAGCTATACCTTCTAAGGTGAAGTTTTTGTACCTGGTCCCTTTCCAACCAAAAAGAAAAGCAGGAGGCACAATGGAGGCAGTGTATTCCTAATCTGGATGTTCTAGCCTGGCCCATTTACTGAGTGGTCAATAAAACTGCTAGTTTTCAGTAGGACCCAGAACAACCGGAGACTGCAACAGATCCAGGCTATTATTCAAAGTACCCTATCACTTTGGTCATATGATCTAGTAGATCTATGGTGCTTAAATTCTAAGTGTCAGATAGATATCCTGTTTGGAGACTTTGGAAGGCCCCCTAAAGGTATAGAATACAATGAGGTTTCTATTTTATTTTAGAACTTGAACCTGAAGAGCCTAAAGAGGTTTTAGAAGGTGAAAAACTTGAAGAAGTAGAGGAAGAAGTTAAGGAGGAGGAGGAAGAAATAGAAGAAATAGTTGGAGAACCAGCCAATTTGGAACGACTTTGGTCTTTTTCCTGTGACTTAACCAAAGGCCTTAACATAAGCAGCCTTGCCTGGAATAAAACAAATACAGTAAGTTATCAAATATTTAATAATTCCATCTCTAGGATTTAAGGACAACTGTCAAATTCTAGTAATGAAGACTTTTTTCCTCTATGAGGCAATTAATTAAAATTATTCCTCAATTTTAGAATGTCCCTAAAACTATTTCATATTTCTAAAAGGGAAAATAAAAACAGTTACAAGATCATGTGTGTGTGTGTGTGTGTGTGTGTGTGTGTGTGTGTACGTGTGTGTGTGTGTGTTTACATACATATATATAAAACATTATCATTTTTATTTTAGGACATGTACTTGGGACATGGTATTCTCAATTCATTTCAGATACTAAGACACATGCTAGAAAGTAATATATAGTTGATTAATTTTAACATATACCAAAACTCATGTAACAAAATTCAGATTCTCCTCATAGTGATATTTAGAAGTATATACTTCAATCCAATGACTCTGCAAATAGGCAAAATAATTTTGAGATTCCTTTAAATGCTATTACTACTAATATTAGCAAACACTTAAACAGTATAAACCAGACAGTGTTGTGTTACACCTGTGTTAACACTTTTAGGTATTATTGTTTTCTTCATTATGTTGATGAGGAAACTGAGATACAAAAAGTTTAAACAACTTACCCAATGATCACAACTATTAAATGAAACAGTCAGAATCTAAACAGATAACCTGGCACCAAGTTCTCACCCTTAACTATTGCACTGCCAAAAATCCTTTTAAAACAAACAAACAAACAAGCTGAATCAAGCTCAGAAATGGTATGTTTGCTTGTAAAGAAGAAATAATTATAGAATAACAAAGCCAATTTCCTCCTGGAGTTTATAAACTCATTCTGAAGACATTTCCCATTTCTAAATCTAAATTTTAGAATTTAGCAATTTCAGAAACCTTTTGGAGAATAACACTATCTTTGAGATAGTGTGTTTTTAAAGTGGTCAAAACTATTTTTTTTTTAGAATTACATTGTATTACATATGTTTAAGAATTAACCTTATGATGTTTTGCTTTTTTAATTAATTTATTTATATATGACAGTAGAATGCATTACAATTCTTATTACACATATAGAGCACAATTTTTCATATCTCTGGTTGTATACAAAGTATATTGACATTAATTCATGTCTTCATAGATGTACTTTGGATAATAATGTCCATCACATTTTACTATCATTTCTAACCCCATGCCCCCTCTTTTCCCCTCCCACTCCTCTGCCCTATCTAGAGTTTATCTATTCCTCCCCATGCTTCCTCTCCCTACCCCACTATGAATCATTCTCCTTATATCAGAGAAAACATTTAGCATTTGGTTTTTTGGATAACTTCACTTAGCATTATCTCTTCCAACTCTATCCATTTACCTGCAAATGCCATGATTTTATTCTCTTTTATTGCTGATTAATATTCTATTGTCTATATATGCCACATTTTTTTTTATCCATTCATCTATTGAAGGGCACTAGGTTGATTCCACAGTTTAGCTATCCTGAATTGTGCCTTATGGTGGTTTTCAAGATAGCGGAATAAAGGAGATCGCATTCCTAGCTTTTTCATGATGTGAAACCAAAAAAGCAGAAAGGCAGCTTCTCATCAAGGTGGGTGAACAAAAAAAGCAGGGTGGTGGACTTCACTGAAATTTAAAACTAGACATTCAAAGCAGATCGGGGACTCAAGAGGTTGGATATAATAAAATAAGGAAGAAATCCCCAGCAGCTCAGCCACTGCCATGACCAAGCAGCAAGCAATATCCACAGTGGTCCCTCCATGAGCAAAGTGGAGGGATAAGGCAATTATAGGAACCTGCACTTTTAGGAGACCTGAGGCATGTCTAGGTATGGAGCATTTAGAGATCAAGGAAATTGTCTTAAACTGAAAGGCGCAGTGCACAATATCGTTGTGGGGGAAAGAAACCACCATCTCTCCCCACGGCATGCAGAGGACAAAGGAAGGAATGATTTTGCAGCACATGCATGGATACTGGCAGCTAAAAGAGCCAATTTCTTGCAAACCTGAGTTTCGCCTGAAATACAGGCCCAGTAAGCAAACATTACACAACAAAGAGTGTGCTTAACTTATCAGGAGAAAATCAGACATGGAGAGAGGTTTATATAGAGGACAAATGGTTGAGGAAATCCACCTGGCTCTATCCCTTCCCCACCAATCTGATGGTTTGTAGGACCTTCTTGGAGAGACATATCTGGCCAGGATTTTGGAAAGGTGGCGGCAGGATAAATTGAGTTTGAAGACTGAACCCAAGACCAGGAAACAAGGGGTCCACAGGTGATATAAGGAATTCAGAATTAGCTCCTCTATGACTTGAGTGAAACCCAGGGAGATCCCTGGGATCCAGTCTTCGACAGGGACCAGCAAAGTCCTGGGCACTGGAGGTGCACTGATTTAAACTATCCAGACCAATTAGCATTCAGTGAAGAACCTGGAGCTCACCTAAGCCTAAACCCTGCCTCCAGGAATTCCATCTATGGGTTTACCTCTCTCACTTCAACATCCCCAGGGTGAAGTATCATGCTTCAGAAGACCCCACCATACCCCGCTACGAAAAGAAGCTGAGAAAGTTTTGAAATTCAATGGAAAGATTCTTTAACTTTTCATCAAGATTTTTTTATTATTGATTTTTTTATATATAAATACATGACAGCAGTAGAATGTATTACAATTCTTATTACACATATAAAGCACAGTTTTTCATATCTATTATATAAAGTATGTTCATGCCAATTTATGTCTTTGAACATGTACTTTTTTGCATTACAATTCTTAATACACATATATACCACAATTTTTCATATCTCTGTTTGAACACAAAGTATGTTGACACCCAATTCAAGTCTTCATACATGTACTTTGTATAATGATGACCATCACATTGCACCATCCTTGCTACTTTCCTGCCCCCTCCATTTCCTTTCCACCCCTCTTCCCTATCTAGAATTAATCTAATCCTCCCATGCTCTCCCTCCCTACTCCACTATGAGTCAACCTCCTTATATCAGAGAAAACATTTGGCATTTGTTTTTTTGGGGATTGGCTAACTTCACTTAGCATTATCTTCTTCATTGTCATCCATTTACCTGCAAATGTCATGATTTTGTTCTTTTTTAATCATCAAGAATTTTTTTAAAATTCTTTTTCTCTTTTCAATTGTGACTTTAATGCTACATGAATATTTATGTATACTCATACTTGATTTTTTTTCTCATTTCTAGCATTTTTGAAGCCAGTTATTTTTCATGAATGAATTTTTGGGGGACTAGGATATTTGATTAGTAATGTCTTAGTTTTGTTTTACATTCTGTTATTTTGATTTATTTTTAATTTTTAATACTTCACTTTATATTTTTCTCTTATGTGTTTTTCTTTATTCTTTTTCTCCTTTTCTTCCACTATCAGCCAATCTGTTATTCTCTTTCATTCTTTCTTTAATCTTTTTACTTCTATTTTCTCTCCTCCCTCATAATCATCACATCCTATATATCACTTCTCTTCTCTCCCTGTCCAACATTTGAAATTGTAAACCATTTTGCAAACTTGCTGTTTTATTGTAGGCAATAACTGATCATATCATTTGTTTATTATTATAATTAACATTGTGGATGTCATAGAAGGAACTATTTGATTTAATGCAATATATTGTTTGAATTGGTTATTGCTGTTATTTGACTCTCCCTAAACAGTGAGGTACTGGAAACCTTCAGTGACATTCTAATCCACAGGGTTAAAAACTCTATTGCCTTAGATTCATACTGTTAGATGAAAAAGCAAGGGAATAAATTGCCCCAAACAAACCAATATACTCCAGTAACAGAATTCATTGGCAACACAGTGGAAGAAATGTCAGAGAGGGAGTTTAGAATCTACATAGTTAAACTGATACGTGAAACAAAGGATGGTATAAGGAGTGAAATTAGAGAGAAAATACTAGAAGTGAAGGATGACTTCAAGAAAGACATTCTGGGGAAAAAAACAGAAATCTTTGAAATGAAGGAATCAATAAACCAAATTAAAACTTCAAGTAATATGGAATAAATTGAAAAGACCAAATTTAAGATTTATTGGGATAGAGAAAGCTCAGAGATAAAAAACAAAAGGAATGTACAATCTTTTCATTGAAATAAGACAAAAATTTCCAAATCTAAAGAATGAAATGGAAAATCAAATACAGAAAGCTTACATGACCCCAAATATACAGACCCACACCAAGGCACATTACTTTGAAAATATCTAACATACAGAATAAAGATAGAATCTTAAATGCTGCGAGAGAAAAATGACAGGTCACATTTAGAGGGAAATCAGTCTGGATCTCAACTGATCTTTAAACCCAGACCCTCAAAGCTAGGAAGCCTTGGAATAACATATCAAGGTCTGAGAGAACATGGAAGCCAGCCAACAATACTATACTCAGCAAAACTAAGCTTTGGAATTGATGATGAAATAAAACCTTCCATAATGAACAAGAGTTAGTTAAAATTGAATTCAGAACTGGAAAGCCTGGAGTACAAAACATACTCAATAAGATATTTCATGAAGAAGAAATGAAAAAAGGGGAAACCAGCATTGGGAGGAACTATTCTAGAAGAATAGTCAAAGGAGAAACTAATCAAATTAAAAATCAGAAATAAATCAAAATAACAGGGAATAAAAATTATTTCTCAATAATAACATTGAATGTAAATGGCCTAAACGTTGACCAAAGACATGAAGATTGGATTAAAAAAAGAAAAACGAACAATATGCTGTCTACAAAAGACAACTTGTGTTCAAAGCATCCACAGAGTTAAGGTAAAAGGATGGGAAAAAACCTATCATTCATATAGATCTTATCATTCACATCAAGGATTTCTGTCCTCATAAAGTGAACATCAAACCAAAGTTAATTGGCTTGAAGAAGGACATTTGAAGATTGACAAGAACATTTCGTACTGTTCAAGGGAATTCTACATCAACAAGACATAACAATATTAAATATTTATGCCCCAAATA